GGTAATAAAAGGGCAGACTCACTAGCAAAAGCTGTCACTGCTCTTCCTGTTGTACAGGTTCAAATTCCTCCCAAGTTTTTCAGACCAAGGAGCAAATCGAGAAGAAAATATTCCCAACTATCAAATGTTGCCACAGAGCCAATGGGTCTGTGGCACCACAGAGCCAAAGTAGCGGAAGGTATCACTGCGATATGGTATGAACAAGCCACTGGATACTACTCTTTCAAGCCTGACAAAAAGATATCCAGAGACATTGCAGTAACAACCACCACCACCTGATCAACCAGGCTGTGACTCACACATCAGGCTGCCATGTCTTAGCAGCCTGGAAGATTAACAGATTAGCTTAAGTGAATAGCTATTTCGAGGTCCTTCTGTTTATTTTGCCTTTTTCCCCTCACGACCACATACTTTTATTGCCTCCTTTTTTCATATTAATTCCCATACCACTATCAACTAATTGTCTCTCCTCGGGTTTGTTTGGGGTTAGAGAGAGAGAGACTGAGATTGACTGACTCGTCGTCTTGTCTTCTAATGGGGTGGTTTGGTCATCATATCTTCAGCCTCGTTATTGTGACTCATCGTCTGCATTTGTTTTGGAGGGATATTTAACTAGCTTTTTAATTAGGTAATGATTTGAATGGCCTAATGAGGTTTTAATGTTAATAGTTATTCTGAAGAATGCTTGACCTCGCTTCCTTTATGGCAGACCTTTCCAACCTTTTCACACAATGATGTCATTAAGGAGCTTTTCCTACCCTTAATTGACATTAATCCTGCTGTCCTTGGGACAGATAAGGGGGGTTCTTCCTTGGGACAGATAAGGGGGGGGTTCCTCCTTGGGACAGATAAGGGGGGGTTCAAGGGATTTGCATCTCTCCCTCCAACCCTCCTCGCCGAGTTTATAAGCCTTAGACAGGCACAAGAATCCAATATGAACAGGCATATTGGAGACTGGGAGGACTAGTATCATCAACCCAAACTGAGCTGTTTGCCATACAACAGGCATTCGCATATGTGACTGCACAAAACACTCAAAATGCAATCATACACACAGACTCAAAAGCTGCACTTCAAATACTAGGACAAAAACAGTGGAAAGATAATGTGGAAATAATTACCACCATTTTGTATCTTGGAGCAGTCGCTAAAGGCAAAGGACTCAACATAACTTTAAACTGGATCCCATCCCATATTGGAATCCCATTAAATGAAAAAGCTGATGAAATTGCTAAATTGGCAACTGGTCATCCAGTGATACATAAAACAATTCAACCCAGCCTAGAGAACATAAAAAACATCATCACCAAAAAACTCACATCTCAACAAAGCCTACCTGCACCAGAGAATAGCTGAAGGTACGCCATCTGCAACATGGTATCTTCAGGCAACCAAATTAGAAAGGTTAAATATCCCAAAAGGAATCCACAGGGAAATAGCAGTTAGGTTATATAGACTACGTCTAGGTTACAGATGCAACTGGGAGATTGGTGAACCCCGACAGAGAGAGTGCATCTTCTGCCAAACTGTCACAGAAAAGCCATTACTTCACTATCTTCTGGAATGTGAAGCAACCAATGACCTTAGAAGAGCTTTAAGAGTTCCTGAATCATGCAGTGGCCACCCTGAAGCCGTCAACAAAGGTGTCCAGCAGCTGGACACCCTCATAAAGACTGTGAAGCAGTATCCTCCCCCGCGATAACAGCTTGATGGTTAAATGCAACCTCAGAATACTGAGAAAAAAAAAATTGTACCACTTACGGGCTATTCATGCCCGTGCCACCTCTTGGGCGGCTTAATCTTAATCAATCACAAGAATTTAGTTACAACCCCGCTCCTGTGCCAGTTAAGTCCACTACGGGCTCACCATAGCCCGTGCTACTTGCAACTTGATGTTCCCAGTAGCTGAATCTTAAACAACAACAACGCAAGAAGTGTTGACCAGACCACACACTAGAAAGTGAAGGGACGACGGTGTTTCGGTCCGTCCTGGACCATTCTCAAATCGATTGTCGAGCCCTACGACGACTCACATCTTCACAGACGGATCAGTCGATCAAGAAAAAGGTTCTGCTGGGGCAGCAGTTTACACTAACAACCATGAAGCTTACTGGAGCATGAATAGTGGGTGTTCAACATTACAAACAGAATTATATGCCCTGAAAGGGGCCTTAAACTACACCATTGAGAATAATTTACATGTCATACCAACTCTAAACATACCGTGTCATTCCTACTGTAAATCTTCGCTCCAGGCATTGTTATCCAGTCAGCACAGGGATAATATAAAACTTGCAGAAATCCATCATTTAGGAAAAGAAGCCCATAATTTAGGGCTGTCAATCACCCTAAATTGGATAAGTCACATTGGCATAGATGGTAATGAAAACGCAGACTAGTAAAAGCTGTCACTGCTCTACCTGTTGTTCAGGTTCAAATGCCTCCAAGTTTTTCACAGATTAAGGAGCAAATCAAGAAAAAAATATTCCCAACCATCAAATGTTGCCACAGAGCCAAAATAGCGGAAGGAAAATCCACTGCGATATGGTACGAACAAGCCACTGGGTACTACTCTTTCAAGCCTGACAAAAAGATATCCAGAGGCATTGTAGTAACCATACACAGACTGAGACTTGGTTACAAGTGCTTCTGGGAGGTAATAAACCCAATAGTTAAAGTGTGTCATATCTGTGGAACAGAAGCAGAGGCGCCACTATTGCACTACTTACTGGAATGTGAAGCTACTGAACCCCTGCTCATCAAACTCAACATTAATCCAATGACAGTAGCTGCATTAGATGCACATTCCACAGTGACTACAATGATTAGAAAAGCTGTTGATGACTGGGACACTCTAGTGAGCATTCTGCATCCACATCCGTCACCAAGATAATGTTATTAAAACAAGACTAAATCTCAGTGCACTAAAACCCGATCCAGTGCGATCATTTAAAACTTTGACCCAAATATCACAGTAACAAGGTTATAGCGAATAACTGAACTCAATTATGGGCTCACCAAAGTTTGTGCTACATGGACATTTGATTGATTGATGAAGATTAAGGCACCCCAAGAGGTGGCACGGGCCTGAATAGCCCGTAATGGACATTTCGTTCTGAGTAGCTAAATCTAAAACAACGATGCAAGAAGTCAGTTACAGAATAGCCCGTGCCATCTCTTGGGTGGATTAATCTTTATCAATCAATCGGAAGAAGTCGATGTTTCTGTACATTTCTCTACGAAAGATTGAGAGAGAATGTGTGATCTCTACGAAAGGATTGTTTCCCCCGTCTGGACCTTCGCCTGCCACAGTCTTCTTTGCTCCTAGGTCACCCAGGTAGGTTGGGGGATGAATTGGTCCAGCTTGAGTTGTCTTTATCTTGAGGGGTTGTGTGTGTGTAACTTCTCAGATGTGACACACAGCCGTGTTGCACCTGGAGAGTCGAAGGGGTCCTAATGTGCCACCTGACGGCACATTAGTGTTATTGGTGGTCGATCATGCTTTCAAGCCGACGTGATAGTACCTTTTTTCACGCGACTTGATAATGGTCCAAGACTGACCAAAACATCGTCGTTTCTGCTGTAACGGTTCTATTGTTACGTAAAGTATGGTGACAATAAACACAGACACTAAGATACTATATATATATTTGGTCGAATATACAGAAGTACACTGGTGATACTTTGGTGCGAGTTGAGCGCACTGAGCGTCGGTACAGTATCTCGCAAGTGTCTGCTCTAGACCACACTTGAAAGTAGACTCTGGTTAATGTTTGCTATTCTGCTGCTTATATGCTCGGGCAACACCTCACCATGTTGCCCGGGCAACGCCTCACCTCATTCATCTCCAAAGGTTGACAGGATTATTATATTAACAATGCATTTGGAGCGAGTATATTATTGGGATAATCTACTCGCTACACTGCATCTTCTGATGTGTGGTTTGGTGGTCATTATTGGCGATCACTTGTGCTTACTAGGACTCTTTCTGTGAGGGTGTTTAGGAACTGGTGGTTGTTGGGGACAACTATGAACCTTTTCTGACGTAATCTGGGAAAACTAGAACCCAAATGGATAAAAATTTCTGATAAAATTTAAACTTTCTAATAAGTGTCGTCGTCGAAACGACGACGTTTCGGTCCATCCTGGACCATTATCAAGTCGGGTGATAAGAGGTACTATCAAGTCGGCATGAGAGCATTATGGACCACCAACCCGGCTTTTCCTTCCGACATGTCTCCAACCCGGCAGGAAAAGCCGGGTTGGAGACATGTCGGAAGTCTTCTGGTGTCTTTTGTATTTTGCATTCGCATCTCAGAAACTAGGCAGGTCTTGTTTCTTCTAATCAGTTTCGTTAGGTCATGTTGGTGGTTGATAAAATTTTAAATGTAAAATCTCTATTGTTTAATAAAACTGCCGCACCGCTCCTGTGCCAGGTAAGTTACGGGCTCACCATAGCCCGTGCTACTTACAACTTGTTTAGAGTAGCTGAATTTATAACAACAACAACAACAAGAAGTAAAACTCAAAGAAAAAGTTAGTGCCTTGAAAAAAATATGGCTTGGAATATGTCATATATATATTTATTTATAAGCAAAATAGTGACTATAAGCAATAAGTGATATATGTGTTGTCTTGTGCAAGAGCAGGCTGCAACATGAGACCCTAGACCCAAGGTCACCAAGGGTTGGGGCAGGGACGAACACACAGCTTAAAAGAGGATGGCAGTCTGAGACCTCTCTTTCTCTCTCCGTCTGGAGTGAAGGGCCGAGGCGGTGGTCCTTGGCGGTTGAATAGTAGCAGGACCTGCCGCCAGAGTAGAGGGTTTTATTATTAATTAAACATAACCAGTGATGTTCAAATTTGGTCTCCTGTTGGGAGACCAAATGTTGTTGGCTTCTGGTCTAATAGTGTGACCAAACAATATCTAGCTTAATGCTCAATCTTAATGTTACCCTGACTTGCATTCTGCATATTTTAACGTCTCCTTTATATTCCAGATAGTTGATGAATGCGATGGAGGGGTCGAAGCTACCTGGAAATCCTTTAGACTCCTCCAAAGCACCTGAGCCCTGTCCACACCACCTGGAAAATATTTACTTGAGGCGTGTCATTGAAGGAGGATACACGCCTTGTCCTAGATACTCACTGGACTCTGTGACATCCTATGTTGCAAGTGATCCATGCTCTCCTGGAATTGGTGAAGGAGTGCATGTCAACACCTCGCTGTTACCTGCTGATCAGCTCAGTCAGTTTGTTGGTGTACCATATTCACACAATACATGCCCTCATCTGGAGGTTATGACCCAGTACCCGCAGCAGCCTACTATGTGCCCCTCAGGTTCACCACAGCAGTGGTGCCCCTTTAATTCACCACAGCAGCCTGTGGGGAACCCCACAAACCCACTCCAACAGCCTTTAGGGAACCTCACAAACCTACGACAGCAGGCTATGGGGAACCCCATGAACCTACGATGGAAGGCTGTGGGTTCCCACAGCCTTCCATCCCCACAAAACCATCACCCCACAAAACCATCACAGCAGCCTATAAGAAACCCCACAAATTCACCACAGCAGCCTATAGGGGACCCCACAAATTCACCACAGCAGCCTATAAGGAACCCCACAAATTCACCACAGCAGCCTGTGAGGTACCCATACCCCATAAATCTATCACAGCAGCCTATTGGGTACCTGTACCCTGCAAACCCATCGCAGCAGCCTATAAGGTACCCATACCCCACAAATCCATCACAGCAGCCTATTGGGTACCTGTACCCTGTAAACCCATCACAGCAGCCCATGAGGTACCTTACGAACCAACCACAGCAGCCTCGTCTCCAACAACAGCCTTCCGAGGACCAAACTACGTCTAGAAAGAATCCTATGTATCCTGCCTCCTTCCAGCACAATCAACTGGGACAGCAGCTAACAGTTGCACAATGCAAATCTCTCACTCAACAGCCAATGTTTTACAATCTGGCATACCAGCATCTCCCCAGCTCTTTCCCAAGTCAATTTCCTGGACAACCTGTTCAGGGTATTTTTTACCTTCCAAATTCTAATCGACAGTCCATGCAACAATGTCAGCCTGTGGTTGACAAGCAGCTTTGCCTTTCCAAAGACCAGAAAAGTCCCTTGAAGCAACCTCCATATCCTTCTCACATTCAGGAGAGACTTGTAGCCTACCGTAAGGAGAGCCAGTCTTCACAGCTTCAGAAAAGGCTCCCACAACTCATTCCGTATCCCGAGTATAAGAACAGGCCTTCAGAACAACTACCGTTCCAACAACAGGCCTTGGAAAGACTGTCTCGTGATCCATGCACCACATCTGGAGGGACAACAATGGACAAAAATGTAACAGAGAAAGCAATCCAGTCAATAATAAGCTATCTGAAAGAACCAGTTTCTGTTGAAAAACAGTTGACAGGAGGAAATAATGAGACACGTCAGCAGCAACAACAGCCTTCCAGTGAGATCCTTGTGCCCATTTCTGAAAGTGTTGTTATGGGCAACTCAAACCAAGACCGACTTGAACAATCGATCTCCAGGGAGAAATTTGAAAGTTGTAGGCTGTCTTCGGAAAGAAAACAAGGCGCTGCTAGCTTGCCTGATCTTCGACAAACAGAGCAGAAATTGGGAGAACCCACCAAGAGTGAGAGACGGGGCCTTAAACATCCTGGAAAGTTTGCTAGACTATTGCTGTCGGATTTCCCTATTAAAGACAAAGAGACATCCCTGGCATCCTCCTGTATGTACGAGTCTAACAGCAGCAGCTTGCCTACACCTATACATATGAACCTTACAGGGGTTTCTGTTGGGTCCCTGGATGGTATTGCTGACATAGATTTAACATTGGCTAAGAACCCAAGATACAATCTCAACGAGGGGCAGCACACACTAACCCACACCACAACTTCGTGCTCTGGTAAAGACATCTCTTCTAATACAGCAGATGTCAACTCTAGTGCTGCAGTGATTTGCTCAGGTAATCAAAGAACCAGTAGTGTTGACTGCTCTCAGGAAAATAGTCTTACAATTACTGAACCTGCAAGCTCTATTGTGGACCTGCTTTGCACTGTTGACTTGGCAAAAGGAAAAAATAACCAGAGGACTTGCAGTTCTAATCCAAAAATACCACCCATGTTAGATCTTACATCAAAGTCCAATGTCTTAAACAAAGATCAGGTATCTAATCGAAGGTATACATTTGGCGGCAAGGCTCTGTCTTGGAATATTAAGGATATGAGACCTGTAACCATGACAAATTCTTTGACAGAGCCCATGACTCTCCATGCAGATCATGCCTCTTTGCTGGTAGAACACTTGCCTACCATGAATGAAACCGAATGTTTTATTGAAGAGAGCACATCTGCCATGCAAGAACTTCCATCTGTTAAGAAATACACATCTTCCATTATTGAGCACAAAAATGCCATTGTAAACTACAAATCTGTTGTAGTAGAACACAAACCAACTATTATGGAAGCTGGACTTGTAGTGGTAGAGCCCACAACTACTCTAGCAGAAAATGTAACCACTCCTAGCAATCCTCAAGTATCAGATAGTGTTTTGTTACAAGGAGCTCAGTCTTCCTTACAAGTTTCTCAAGGGCTACTAGAGGCTGAAAAAAGAATACAGGCCAAAGATTCCAGCACCCAACCATCGATGCAGGCCAAAGATTCCAGCACCCAACCATCGATGCAGGCCAAAGATTCCAGCACCCAACCATCGATGCAGGCCAAAGATTCCAGCACCCAACCATCGATGCAGGCCAAAGATTCCAGCACCCAACCATCGATGCAGGCCAAAGATTCCAGCACCCAACCATCGATGCAGGCCAAAGATTCCAGCACCCAACCATCGATGCAGGCCAAAGATTCCAGCACCCAACCATCGATGCAGGCCAAAGATTCCAGCACCCAACCATCGATGCAGGCCAAAGATTCCAGCACCCAACCATCGATGCAGGCCAAAGATTCCAGCACCCAACAATCGATGCAGGCCAAAGATTCCAGCACCCAACCATCGATGCAGGCCAAAGATTCCAGCACCCAACAATCGATGCAGGCCAAAGATTCCAGCATCCAACCAACATTTATAAGGACCAATATCGGGAACATTGAGTCAACATTTGCACAAAGAAGTGTGTCCCAGCCATATCATACGAGCTTCAACCCTTCACAATCAAACCCTGAATGCACCACCAGCCATGACAAAGGGGAAGGGCATGTTAAGCTAAACAAGAAATTAAAGCAACATTTCAGCAAGAGAGAGTGCATTCAGGACAGGTTCTTTCTGTATGTTCCTCCTAAGCCGAAGTTGCTTTGCTTTCTGTGTGGAATCACGGTGTCTGGCGAAGAGGCACTTTATCACCTCTTCTTTGGTCTCATCAAATGTGCAGAATGTAACTGCTCTCTCACAACATGTGCCGACTTCAGGAATATGGAGGTATTTGAAACACCATGCAAAGAACAGAATAAAGACCACAAGAAGCTTGTGTGGTCTTCAGATCCTATCGACTTTGTTTCATACCATGTAAGGAAAAATTTGATGACAGAGAACACTTACGTAGGAAAGGAAAACTCTCCATCTACCACAGATATTGTAGATGCTATGGCAGGTTTCCTGGACAACTTTAAAGCACTTCAGACATATAGTCCATGGGCACAGGCACTTTATAAATGCTGGAATTATGTGCGGAATATGCAGGCCACTTCAGACTTGACTCCTCGTGTAAAAACGAAGTCACTGCAGCCCTTTAATGGTAACTTAAAAAATACTGAAAATGTCCAAGCTGTTAACTTGCCTACCAGTGATCCAACAATTCTCCGCTCTGACTCTTGCTCTGAGGAACTCGTCGACAGCCGGCATCTTGAGTTGGAATCCAAAGACTTTCCCTTATCCCAGCCATATGGTCAAGAATTGCTAGAGCAGGTCGGTGATGAGGTCAATGAAATGGTGAACAATAATTTAACAAATGACCATATTAGCCAGCCCGTGGTCAGCCTGGCGTCTCCATCGAGTCCCACGACAGCAGGAGACACCATAAACACCAGAAACTTGTCTTCAACTGAGCAACGCCCTTCAAACATTAATAAACCGATGTTAGACTTGATGGAAACCAGCAGAGAAAGTCCAGCTAATACACACCAAACCACATTAGAAAACTTGCCAAAGACACAAAATACATCCTTGTGTCAAATGTCAAAGAAAAGACTATTCAGTGCCTTAAACTCTGATTCTGTGCCAGAGAAGCAAGTGTCATTTCCATCCCATTCAGGACCAGTGGACAGAAATAACTTTCTTTTATTTTTGTACCCAAAGGATGAGTGTCCAAACGAGTGTCCTATGTGTTATGCCGCCCTATGTGCCTCCAGGTGTAATGTCAACTTGAAAACTTACGTTGTGAGGGTCGACTGTCTTGATTGTGGCCTTCAAATTTTTATTGATTTGGACCCGTCCAATGAACCATGTTCCTTATCTCCATGTAACAGACCTTGTCCAAAGAGCAAGAAAAGGAGAACGAATGTCATTTAATAGTTGGTTAGTAATCGTTTTTATAATGTGTTGACTGTGTGTGTTTTAGATTTGTAAATACTGTATATCATGCCAAATTGCGCAAGACTTGGTGGATCGGTTTTCCTCATGTGGACAAAGTGCCTGACATTCCTTTTCACATCTGAAAAGCCTCTTGCCAAACGTCCAAAGGATTTTGCCATAACCTTGGCTGTGAATTATATTGAATCTATTTTTATGCAATAATAAACAGTGATTATATTGTGATTGTTTCTACACCATGGCCTTTATAATTGTGGTGTTGGTTAAGTAGTTGTTAAACCTGACTTTACTTAATTAACTTTTGATAAAATACTTTTTTTAAATAGAGCGCGTGTGTGTGTGTGTGTGTGTTATGGTAGTTTTACTTGCATTTTTTGTTTTTGCTATCAAAATTCTTGTACTATCGATAACTGCAGCTCTATCTTTTTCTCGGTCATAAGGATGGGAGAAGAATAATCCCGATATCGATCACCTTAATCCTTTCTCATATTAATCCCCTCCCCCTCTCAAACTCCATTTCATCCCTCCCACCTCTACTACAAATTGTGCTAATTAATAACTCATTTATTTTATATGAAAATAAAAATTAATGTCTCGGTCTGTCCTGGAATTGGTAATAGTTCAGGATGGCCCAAATGTTTTGTTCCAGATTTGTTGGTTGTGTGAGTAAGGAAATTTTTTTTTTTTAGATATATACAAGAGTTGTTACATTCTTGTACTTCCACCCTTGGCCTGGGTGGAATGCAAGAGGACAGACGGGAACAAAATTCTCAATAAGTACATGTATAATCAAATCAACCGACTCATACAGTGGTTGAGGTAGACTTATTAAACACACCCCATTAAAGATTTTGATGAAGTGTTTGTGTGGGGCACTTAAAGCTTGTCCCAATCCAAATTTGTTTTTGGTCATTTGTATTAACCCTTAACATCCATGTAATTATCAAATGTTATTTTATTTTGGGTCTAATGTTGAAACACTTGAAATATGCACCAGAAAGGTCTAGACTTTCCAGTGGATACAATTTATTTTTTGAACTAAATTATCAAAAGAACGCACCCAGCCGGGGAGAACATGTATCACCATCAAATGTGTTGAACATTCAAAAGGCGCTAAATATCACTCAGGATGCCGTGAATCGGATACTTTTGATATCGTTCGCCTTATGCGTTTTTGTTCTCATGTATTGGCATTCTTGGTGATATTTAGCGCCCTCGGATTATTTCGCACTTTGATGGTGCTACATAGCCTTCCCGGTTTGGTGCCTTCTTTTGATAATTACCTCACTAAGGATGCCAATACGAGAACATAAGGCGAACTATATCAAAGTTAGTGGGCCAGCCAGAGGCTTAGGGCCCACTATATCCCTGAATTTTTTTTTTCAAAGGTATCAGATTCATCAAGGATGCTATCGAGGGAGGGTCGGGAAGCAAGACGCGCGTCCGGGAAGTCCAGACAGTCGACAAGGATATACACGACCGTAAGAGTTTAGGATAATAAGGAGTGCCACCCTGCTCCTTGTTGTCTTAACTCCGCTGTCTTAAACCTGCTGGAGATTAACATTCAATGATAAATTTCGACTTCCACATGGACTGGGTTAAAGGACTTTATTAAAATTGGATTAAACTATCAAGACGGCAAAGAGTAGGAGAGGCAGACGAGTAAGCAAGACAACCAAAGACAGGTTAGACCGGCTCTAACCAATGGCCAGTACATATACAATCTCTAGTTTATTCTAGATCTTGTCGCCTCGTCAAGGCGAGGTGCCTGGGATTGTGACGTCATAAACTGTAGATTGTATCAGTACTGGTCATTGGTTACAGACGACCGTCTGTACTCACCGAGCGACCGACTCAGACGACCGTTGATTAAAACTAGATTTACTTAGTTTTAAAAGTAGTTTTGCTAGAATCTTGCGGCAAGTGGTTTCTAAGAATTAATCATTTGTGATACTTTCATAAACATTTGAAAGATATTTATGAAAAACTTCACGTACAGTAAAGCTGTACGCACATTAAAGATGAACTATAGAAAGGCATTGTGTACCAGTCTTCAGTTTACAGCTGCCACAACTACTGTGTTACCAGTAATTAGTTCGGGGTATGGGAGTGTAATTTAAAGTAAGAGCTTGCTGACAGGATTATTCAGATTAGACTTCCCCCCCCCCCCAAGTATAACTGTACAAGAATTGCCAGCTCTATAGTCGGGACAAGGACACCTGGAAGGTTAATAAAAGGCCCTAACTTTTCTAGTAACTTTAAAGTCATCTCACTATACTAACCTCTGACAGCTTTGAGGATTATAGTATCAGGGTAGAGTTAAATAATTAGCCTAGAAGTCAGATTTTAACTCTTGTTCGTTTCTCGAATTTCCTCGGGTCGTATTATTTTCTCAAAGATTAAAAGAAATTCACAGTAGGGCATACCAGGAATAAATGCAATACTCTAGACAATTATATTAATACATAACTTCTTTAATACATAACTGCCCGAAACACTTTGCGTCATAGTGACTTTAGGCATTGTATGTACTAGTTCTATCTATAAATCCATCAATGTTTGTATCACATCTTGTATGCATGTTCTTTAAATGAATAAACATTTGAATTTTCTCACATACACTTTCTATAAATTACATGGCTCACATTGGTTTTCACACGTCACTTTAGCCAGTCCGCTGAATGTCAAGACACTAGTATTTGCATAGTTCACACACTTGGCTGCAGAAATCTTAGGCTATCCACGGGTCGAAGCAGTTGTCGACAGCAAGTCCCCCACCCAGCTCGTCCTCCAAACAAAGATCCAAAAGTGATTCCATGCACCCGCCAAACCCCCTGTTTATGAATGAAAAGCGGTTTACACACGACTCACAACTGCTGACGTTCGAACATATCCGGAACAAGTGCTTCACTGACGAATTTTGTTCGAATCACAACGCTATAAATGCTTCACCCACGTACTACAAATACAAATAATCGCCAATAGAACCTAAACACCTAACCTAACCTATCCTATGCCTATATATACACTATGTTAATATATTATAATATTAATTTATACTTGAGAAAATTCCCGTTTTGAATGAACAGCATGTTAAAATTTATGAATGCGTCTGTGGGGTCGACCGCTGAATGTAATGGACTTGGGTCAACAAGAAGTCCCCCACCACATGGGAAGGGAACGGCCCACCGTAGCCAATGCCGCACCTTCCTCACCAGGGAACTAGCCACAGCAACAAAGAGGACCGACACTCACTGCCTTCAAATGAAGGAAGGAAGGAAGGAAGGAAGCCGATACCAAACTCCTAAAAATGAAACCAGACTGATGGTCTTTTAATAAGGCTGCCTGACCTCACTTAGGTCACGTGGGGTTGGCGGAGCTGATCGGTGGTTGCCCAGTGATGCGAGGTATTGTTTCCGTAACTCGAACTGTGTTTGGACCGTTTGACGCTAGTTTAACCACTAACGCACACGAGTTTCAGTAAAAAAAAAAAAAAAAAAAAAAAAAAAAAAAAAAAATATACATATATATATATATATATATTTATATATATATATATATATATAATGTATGTATTTTATAAAATACATATATATTATTATATATATATATATATATATATATATATATATATATATATATATATATATATATATATATATATATATATATATATATTCTTGCGATTTTTGCCCGCAAGCTGCGAAAATCGCATGGTTTTTGCGCAAATTAGCGCGGTTTTCGGCCGTTAGCGGCAAAAATCGCCCGATTTTTGGCCGCTAGCGGCGAAAATTGCGCTATTTTTGGCCGGTAGCAGCGAAAATCGCGCTATTTTTGACCGCTAGCGGCGAAAATCGTGATTTTTGCCCGCCAGCTGCAAAAATCGCATGGTTTTTAGCCGGTAGCGGCGAAAATCGCGCGGTTTTTGGCCTGTAGCGGCGAAAATCGCGCTATTTTTGGCCGGTAGCGGCGAAAATCGCATGGTTTTTGGCCGGTAGCGGCGAAAATCGCGCTATTTTTGGCCGGTAGCGGCGAAAATCGCGATTTTTGCCCGCCAGCTGCGAAAATCGCATGGTTTTTGCGCAAAATAGCGCGGTTTTCGGCCGTTAGCGGCAAAAATCGCCCGATTTTTGGCCGCTAGCGGCGAAAATCGCGCGATTTTTGGCCGGTAGCGGCGAAAATCGCGAGTTTTGCCCGCCAGCTGCGAAAATCGCATGGTTTTTGGCCGGTAGCGGCGAAAATCGCGCTATTTTTGGCCGGTAGCGGCGAAAATCGCGATTTTTGCCCGCCAGCTGCGAAAATCGCATGGTTTTTGCGCAAAATAGCGCGGTTTTCGGCCGTTAGCGGCAAAAATCGCCCGATTTTTGGCCGCTAGCGGCGAAAATCGCACGGTTTTTGGCCGCTTGCGGCGAAAAAAGCGCTATTTTTGGCCGGTAGCGGCGAAAATCGCGATTTTTGCCTGCCTAGGCGAAAATCGCATGGTTTTTGTGCAAAATAGCGCGATTTTCGGCCGTTAGCTGCAAAAATCGCCCGATTTTTGGCCGCAAGCGCCGAAAATCGCGCGATTTTTGGCCGGTAGCGGCCAGCTGCGAAAATCGCATGGTTTTTGGCCGGTAGCGGCGAAAATCGCGCTATTTTTGGCCGGTAGCGGCGAAAATCGCGATTTTTGCCCGCCAGCTGCGAAAATCGCATGGTTTTTGCGCAAAATAGCGCGGTTTTCGGCCGTTAGCGGCAAAAATCGCCCGATTTTGGGCCGCTAGCGGCAAAAATCGCGCGATTTTTGGCCGGTAGCGGAAAAAATCGCGAGTTTTGCCCGCAGGCTGCGAAAATCGCATAGTTTTTGGCCGGTAGCGGCGAAAATCGCGCGGTTTTTGGCCTGTAGCGGCGAAAATCGCGCTATTTTTGGCCGGTAGCGGCGAAAATCGCATGGTTTTTGGCCGGTAGCGGCGAAAATCGCATGGTTTTTGGCCGGTAGCGGCGAAAATCGCGCTATTTTTGGCCGGTAGCGGCGAAAATCGCGATTTTTGCCCGCCAGCTGCGAAAATCGCATGGTTTTTGGGCAAAATAGCGCGGTTTTCAGCCGTTAGCGGCAAAAATCGCCTGATTTTGGGCCGCTAGCGGCAAAAATCGCGCTAATTTTGGCCGATAGTGGCGAAAATCGCGATTTTTGCCCGCCAGCTGCGAAAATCGCATAATTTTTGGCCGGTAGCGGCGAAAATC